GCGTTCCTGATTTTGGCATAATAACTAGTTACCGTGCTCGTTACCACAATAATAACGTAGTTACTGTAACGCGTTAGTCCCAACACTGCTGATATACAGTGCTCATCAAATGCATTAAACATACATTAGGGTGGTGCTCTATGTTACCGATGCACTAAATTAACATTATTGGTAATTATGAAAATCATATTTTATGTGTCTGCAATGGTCAAACCACTGGTACACATATGCCATTTTATGTAAATAATATTTGCATAGCTATAAAATATTTACTGTTGTTACCTATGAATTTTCAAATTCACATGTTTACAGAAAAAGCAGTAAAAATAGTAAAAGCATATTATTTTTAGATGAAGATACCAAATTACAGTTATTTACCTGCATTTCTGCACAGAAGAAGAACTAGTTTTTTTAGTTGTTGAATCCTTGAATAATTTGAATAATTTTAACCTTGAATAATTTCTGACTCCTCAGAGAAGTCCATATTGGATATAAAAATGTGAATTCAGTTTATTTGCCAAATAAATAAGAATATTATTCTTATACATGTAAAAAAACAAAAAAACAAGATAAAAATATTCTGGAGAGACAGTGAGATCCTATCAGAACTAATTGAGCTGTGTAGAAAGACAGGATGAGTTTGGAAGTGATCCAATCAGAAATAATCCCCTTTTGCAGTAAGGTTAGATGAACGCATTTGATTTGCACCTGAGAAAATGGTTTTCTTTCTGATGTCAACGCTGGGGAGAAAGAGATGTCACGGAACATAACGCATCAGACTTTTAAACCTTATATTTTAGCCACTGAATCAATTTTAGATTTAATCTACTTTAATCTTATGATACTTAGTAGACTAAATTACTACCAAAACTAAATGATGTTTTAGTAAAAGGCTAAAACTAAATCACAATTTGCTGTCAGAATTAACACTTTATTTACTTTTGTGAGCATTTTTTAATCACAGGAAGCCTAATAAATATGTTAAGCAATGAATAATTTAAAAATAAGAAAGAAAACTATTTATCTAGTCAGGGGACTCCCGTGTGAAAGAGTCTGTGTACTTAAGTACTTGGACTTGTTTGCAGTATTTTATTTCACAGTTTACAAAAATAATCTGCAAACTAAATGTGCTCTAATAATAATAATAATAATAATAATAATGATAGAGTTGCAGCTATTCGTTTAAGTAAAGGCCTAAAGGCCTGTCACAATTATTAGATTAGATCCTTCACGAGTTGTGCATTAAGGTCGTTGTGCACGCAAAGTAATTACAATGTGAACAAATCCTTGCCAACTGTGGTAAGAGAGCTCTGATTACTAAGAAAACACAACCACACCTGTGTACTTGACAATGTTGTCGAGCAGCAGAGGGTACTTGGTGAGCCGCAGCATCTCCACAGGAATGATGTCCTTGAGTTGCAGTCGGCGACACTGCCTGTTACTCTCTGCCTCCTGCAAAGAAGCAAAATATAAGTGGAGTACCCTTAAGCAGCCATAAAAACAGCCCAAATGCATAATTTTCAGTATAAATAGAGACTGAGCTAGAATAAGAGTAAGCTTGGGTTTTTATTTAGATCCACACAACCATTGTTTAAACCCTCTGATTGACAAATTGTGAGCCTTCTGAGCGGTTATCTCCTGTGAACACCTTGTATACACTGTGTGCGCAGTGACAAGCGTACCAGAATGAATGAAGTGAACCTCGAGTCCTTCTTCTGTTTGGTCTTTATGAGCTCCAGAGCAAAAGGCTGGTTACTGCAGAACGTCCCCACCGCCTGCTTGATCTTCTCTTCCTCTCCACCGCTGAACTGTTACCACCCAACCCAAGACAGGACAGAGATGGATAGAAACTCAGTCAATATGGGTCAGAGGTAGTAGATTTAGTATTTAACCGCTATGACGAGTGGCTGACTCCTGGGAGGGCAGGCTTATGTCCTTGCAGCAGAGACAGCTTAAGTTTCAGTCCAGACTAGATCAATGTTTAGACCCTTAGGGGACTGATTAGCCTACTTATCCTACTCCCTCCACGTCTCCCATTGAGAGACTCTATACAAGACTTCCAGCTCCTACGCCGCTACCTCACGTCTCATATATCACTGACAATATTAAGATGCTGAGATGTCAGCCAGATCTAGGGTATTGAGTGACATCATTTACTAGGGACAGGGCTTCCATTTTTCTCACTCCCATTTCATCTTACTGGAGAGGGCAGATTTTCCTCTGTCGTCTTTGATTTTTTTCCCTCTTTTTTCCCCCCATTTTAGAAGGATTTAAGTGGCGAAAAAGGCCTATTACCATGACTGTCATATATAAACTGCACATACCCATGTCCCTGTGCACACGTCATCCCAAAAGATTGTCGAATTATAAAGCTGAGAAAAGCAATCTCAAGCCAACGTCAACAGTTTTTTTCTCGTTATGAAGCAATTTTGGGCAACACTTCCATTTCTTTGTACACAATGTTTTTTTCTCCCCACCACATCAGTCATCTTGAATTTTATTCAATAGAAGGAATTATATGAAAGAGAAAATAGAATTTTGGCATGAAAATTGTACTCACCCAGGAAAGCAAGTCATCTCCTATCTGATCAATTACTGAAGAGTCATTTCTCTTCCGAACGGCAGCCATTTGATCTGATATGTTAACTGAAATTTAAATAGGAGGAACTATCAGCATGTGTGTGTACAAGATTAAAAAAAAAAAAAGGAATGCAAAATGATAATGTGAGCGTCTGTATGTTGTTAAGAGTTTGGCCTTACTTTAAAATGGAATTAAATTTACACTACAGGACTTTTCAGGCATTTTATTGATTCTTAATGGCTCAGAGGCAGAGGAGATGTGTGTTTCTAGTGTACCATGCAGCTGCAGAACCTCTTCCAGATTGGAGAAAATATTCTTGATGTCAGCAGGAGGCAGGATGGAGTCTTTGGTGAGCTTCTGGTAGAAAACGTTGTCCAAAACCTTCAGCATCCGTACATGTGCACGCTCTGTGTAAAACAGCTCTGCAGACACGCAAGATGTTAATTCGAGCTGGCAGGTATTTATTTGCACATTTCAGCATAAAACACATCTGACAGCAGCTTGGGTTGGATCCCAGCAAATGCTGCATAATTGTCTTCCCGTCTACGCACTATATTCTGTATACTGTAGTATTTTAAAGCATATGGAGAGTATACTTTGAAAATACAATATAAGCTTCAGGGGAGTTTGACAGTGCCAGTCCTCACCGTGGATAACTTCCTGTCTCTTGATTTCATGAGGCCTGAGACCGGCTAGAACCTCTGGACGCACCAGATGCTGCCAGTTTGGGGGATCGCACTCAGAATCTGTTCCCTGGTCATCCTCGCTCTGGATATCAGCAGCACCGAGTCCCTCAAGCCTACAGTAATACAATAAAGTTAGCTTTTAAACTAGGTTTTTAGATCAATATAAGAAAGTCCAAATGATCTGGTATTCTTGCCTTCTTAAAGCTTTTGGTGTTCCCTCGTGAGTTCTACAAAAAGTGACAGAGAAATCAGTCATAAAAATAAGAACTTTTAAGGGAAACAGTGTTACTGCAGATGTGACTTTAAAGGCACCTGTCACTTTCTCTGTCATCCTCTGGCAGTTGGTCCAGGTTATATAGGGGGTCAAACTGCGAAGCAGAGTATGGCAACCCGTCCAGAGAGTCCGATGGAAGGATTTCACTCACCCTGCAGGGGCCAAATATTGGAGTCCCACCTGCCAGATAACAAGTTAATAGCCATCGCTCCTTTAAGTGTTTTTTCATTTAATTCATTTGTCTGCTTGCTCACCCATATCAGCGTCTCTGCTGGTGTCAGAGCTGTAGGTGGCGCTAATTGGAGATGATGAGTTGACAGACATGGAGTGTATAAGTTCAGGGCCCTCGCTTGATTGGCTGCCTTTGAGACGACTAGATTCTTTATAATCACTTGTAGACAGTGCAGGTTGAGACATCTGTTTCTGAGGCCGTGGTCGTCCCTCCTGGGTCGTACCCCCTGAATACACAGACAGGTGGTATCAAAATAATATAAAGCTTTGAAAGCTACGTTGTTATTTTTGGTCATTTCAAACTCGTATCTTACCTGACGATTCGATGCGGCTGGGCCGCCGCTGAGGTACACGAATATTAAATTTATTATTCTTGGGAACCTTTTTCACTTTCTCTTCCCTTTCCTTTTCTGTCTTGTTGCCTCGCTGTAGAGTTCATCAAAAACAAGAAAAGAGTCATGTAGGTGATGGGGGAAGAGGAAGAAGTCTCACTGTGCAAGACAAATTTAGATTACCTTAATCATGGGAAGAAAGCTGATCCGAAGCCGTTTGGACTCCAGGCTGCGAGGTTCCTTGACCCTCACACCAAGGTGCTTCATGTACGTATATATAACATACTGCATTGTAGTGCTTAAAAAACAAACAAACAAACATGACAACCAATGAGTTTGGATGCTTTCTGAATTATAATTAACAAAACAAGACAATGCTAAAATTTGAAGAGAGCAAGTATCCATATTGTGATTTGTACCATATGTCACAACAGTCGTTCCTCATACAACGTCTACACAAACCATCTGGGCTGTGCTGCGAGCATATGGCATTTCAAACAAGACTGTTTCAATCAGTCACACTTTTGAATTATTTAATATAAACATACTGCATAAATTACATGTTTTCTTTAAGAGACTGCTCCACCGCTTAATTTGTCAACTGTGGGGGATGTAGAGTGGCGCTCGGATGACACTGATATGTATTCTTGCTTGAAACATCAAAGACTGTACTTTAAAGGTGAATAATTACTACCACTGGCAAGTTATTAAATTAGGAGCAGATTGCTGTCTAATGATAATTTCAAGGACTGAAAAGATTTAATAAAAATAAGCCAAGACATGACAGCTCCCTTAGATAATTGAGAGGCATATTACAGAATGTAAATATAGCACAGACACAGATGGCTGAAGGGGCCATGGGAGTTGTTAACTCTTAGAAATCGCTTGATTTAAGAAACTTGCTTCAGCCAAAGTTTTCTTACCATTTCTCTTCCTCTGTGAGTTGAGTAGTTACCCTGTTAACAGTACAATAAATAAAAATTGATAAAACTGAATATTATGAGCTTCCAACTAGCATGTATATGTATCAGTTACTCACAGGATATCGTCTATTTTCGCGATGATGTTTTCAGCATATGAGCGTTCCCGCTCGAGAGTGCCGCGGTCTCTGACTCTCTCTTGGTCCAGTCTGCCCAGCTCTGCTTCAGCCACTGTTAGGCCCATACTCCGCTTCTGCCTGCAAGTACCAAACACATAAGGAGGTATACTGTTATTACTGTGACCAGGTTGATAATGTTTTAGAGAAACAATGAAGTAGAGGATGAGAAAAGCTTGTTTCTTTTATATATGCCTAATGTGGGAGCTAACAAAATCCTTAACATCTGAAACCCAGCTAAATCGGCAGCATCACAAAAAATACAAATTCTGAATTTACCTGAAATCTTCAAGATTCTTCTGAATATCAGGGAGCAGAGAGTCCTGCAGTGTTTGAACATGTTGTCTGTTTATTTCCTCTGGGATCAGTTCTGTCCGCCGCCGATCTGCAAACACACACACGCACGCACGAACGGACACACACACACATACACAGAATAAATATCAAAGGGTTGCAGCATGTCCACAATAAATAAGTGGTATTAAAGCTAAGCAATACTTTCCAAACCATCAGAGCATTTGATTTCTTAAGGCCTTGGCAAGGACTGTGCTTGGCTGGCTGAGGAATCGACTTACAGGGACTGTATAATGAGGGTGCTTAAATTGCTAAAGTTACTCAGCAGAAGCACAAAAAGTCAGCACAAAATAAATATCACCAGCTCTAAATGATGCTGGTTGGGTAACTGAATGAGACAGAAGCTGTGTACGAAATACTTACCAAGATCAGCGGAGACAGATTCAGGAACACCAACTTTTAAATTCTGCAACAAAAATGAAACAGTTCGATTCTTTAAAAGCAAACAGGGATATAAAGGAGTGAAGGTACTGAAGTCAAGCAAAACACTGCCAAATGCTGTCTGCATGAGTTCAGATCATAAATAAAGACACATAACAGTAAATGATCTGGCATTTATAGTGCTTTTCTAGTCTTATTGTGCCCTTGATACTCCTCTATCATCTCCAATGAAAGGCATAACAGCCAATTACCAGCAAATACACCACCCTGTTCTGACCTGTATATGAGATTACTTTAAAATGTGTTTTTAGGCTTTGTTTGGTCGAATTAGTATGATTTTGGAAACACCCGGGCCGGAAATGTGATTAAATTCAATTTGCTACAATAATTTGCTGTAATCTAAATGCAATACTAGATTGTGTGCTCGCTGTGTAAAGACAGATAAAGACTCACTGCTCCCCGGTCAATGAAGAAATTGTGAAGGCCCATGAACACCCGTCTGGTCTCTTTGGAGTTGGTCTGCTTGTAGAGGTCAGCATAGAGGTAGCACAGCTGAGGGAACAAAACATTAAAAATCAAAATAAAATAGGAACTGCAGAGTCTCCTAAACAGCAAGATTTTGTTTTAAGACAAGTTAAGCTTTCTTCCCATAGTTAAGCCGGGGTTTCCTGTGGTGGTTCACTTCTTACTGAGATAACTTATGCCACAAAAACTTATGCTGTGAACCCATCGCTGGTTTATCTCCAGCAGGTATGTTAGTTTCATTCTGTTGTATGTGTGCAACTGCTTCATATGTTTCTAATATTATACTTTATTCTTGCATTGTAAAATGAGATTCTCAGCTGTCAGTGCACTAAATCAGTGTTGTTGGTCAGATGTTCATGTGACTGGCGCATACCTGGGACAGCAAACACTGGGTTAACATAGCAAATTGATAACCAGCTTTGTGTGACTGGGTGAACTTTCTTCACAGCAAAGGGCCTAGGTTACGTAAAAACTGTAAATAATGCATAAAAGCCATCAACAAATATGAAGGAAGTCTTACCACAGGAGCAGGGTCGAACTGAGAGATGACATGATACAGAAAGGCTGCGAGGTGGGCAGGGCGAGACTTGAGCAGCTCAATACTATTAAAGCTGTTACACTGGCCGTTTGTCTGAAAAACAGTCAGTACAACAGTTTACCTCTAATCTTAACCTATAAGTCACTTGAAATTGTATTTGGGCTTTCCGTAAAATTGTAGGGTTTTGCAAATAAATAAAAGAGATAATGTCCCCAAAAAATACCTGCTCTTGGTCTGAATCAAAATAGTCATCCTCAGCTCCAATGATCTGCGAAACCAGGCGAGTCGAGGAGGGACTGCTGACTGTGGTAGGGGAAAGGGCGTCCTGTAGACGAGATGTCAGGTATGGTCAATATGTCTCCCCCATTTGGACATTCATAACCTCTTGACCTTATTGTGTGGTTGTAACAGTTAGAGGAAAGACAGAGTAAATAAATAATATGTGTGAAGATAATTTCCATAAAGCTACCAGATCAGTGGTGTCCTCTGTCTCTGGGGAGTGGAAGGAGTTGTAGCTGTTCCTGGGTGTGGTCTTTGGGCTGGGACAGGAGAACTCTCTTGGACACTGGCTGTCTGGAGATGACGGCCCAAATATGCGAGATATCTGAAAGTGGGAAGGAACACACACACAAAACAAAAAAAGAGAGAGAAAAAAAAAGACCTAAAACACTATATTACAGATTGGTTGCTATGCCTGAGAGTCATCTGAATGTAGAATCGGTATGCATAAATATAATCCTTGCTCTGGTGATGTTTAGCTCTAAATAAGCCCCAAAGCCAAGCAGGACTGATTCCATTTACTTTTACATTATTATTCTAGAGCATAGCAGGTCTTGGAATTTGATGTAAATATGGTATTGAGAGAGATTTTTAGATTGTGATGTTTAAAAATGTGATTACTTACAGGGGTCCTGGTCCAGAACAGGTCTGCATTGTTTTCTCCCTTGGGGACAAATGCATCTTCATCTGCATCATCACTTGGAACACTCTCCTGAGGATTTAATAATACTTTTTAAAAAAAAAAAATAATTATAAAGATTTATATATTTTTAATGATAATGTTCTTTATGACACATGTTCAAACAGCTTTTCAAAATAAACTACATACACTGGTAATAGTCAATAGATCATTTCACGAGTGGAATTGCATAAAATATAAATACTGAAAAATTTAAATGTAGCACACTAGCTGACGCACATAGCACAAGGCTCAGCGTGTGATGACTATAAAATAAGCCGTCACTCAGACACAAAAGAGTGGCTTCCCACAGAGAAAGTCTAATCCTCTGATGGGCTTTGGATTAATGTTTGTCTGGCACAATCTCTAAATGTTCTACAAAAAAGAAAAAGAATCCCACAACACCTCCGTGGATGCTGCCGTTAGATACCTGTCCCTAGATATCCCATGTCTTTGGGCATGTTATGGTAACTACCTGTGTTGTCCCAATGGCCTTGGGGAGCTGACCCTGCAGCTGAGGAATGTGTTTTTCAGCTTCCTGGATGTCTTTCAGTAGTTTAGGGGAGGGGTTTCTGCTGTACTCCTCCTTCATGGCCTGAATGGCAAGAAGGGGGAAATCGACACAAGAATAGTAATAGCAGGTCACTGTAGTTTTCTTGAAAGTGGAAAAATGTCAAATATGTTGACATTTGTTTCCCATGCAAAAGGTAAAGAAAACGACTTCCTGCATTAAAATATATACTGCAGTATTTAAATAAATAATACACATACTACTTGACTCCTCTGTATGAATGTTCTGGTACAAGTGATCTTTTGATTTTCCAAAGAGAAAACACCACTCGTTTTAATAGTTCAATTTAACACAGCTGTGCATCAAAGAGGGCAAATCTTCTTTCTAATGCCAGAACCTTTAGTCAGCAAGTGACACTTGTTTGCTTTACTCACCTCCAAGATGTCAGCTTTCTCATCCTGTGGGGATAAAAACCAGAGAAGCTGAAAAAGATGCAAAACAGCGAATGCGCAATCTATCTCTCTCTATATAATAGATAATAGAAATAATATCATTTAAAATTAATAATAATAATAATAATAATATTTAATAATAGTAAAATATACACATGCACATGTTTCACATATGTTATATAATTCTCTATTATATATAACAGAGATAGTGTCAGGGTTATATAGAAGTCATTTAGCCCCAGAGAAGATTTGAGCGGATGAGATTTAGAGATGTACCACAAATGTGACAGCATCTATAAAGGGGGGAGGGGGGGGGGCATAGACAGACCAAGGGGAATAAGATAAAGAAGCATGACAAATTTGCAGAAAGTGGACAGGCAACAGAAGTAACTAATGTCTTTAGTACCCATGGTTGTTGAATAGGTAAGATGCTGTCCTGAGGACTGCAGGGGCGCCGTGGTGCTGGAGAGTTTGGAGAGGATAAGCTCATGTCTGGCTCTGCTTCGGGCAAAGGTATCTGGGCAAGCCCGGGGGGCCGGCCCAACACTGTGAGGGCCACATAGGAGCCCGCTAGAACACACACATAGAAACGAGAATTAGTCCCTTTTTGTAGGATTTATTTTTAAAATGTAACTTTTGTGACAGAAAGAACAACTTACATTTAATAAGTTTCACCACTTCTGTGTGGTTAGAATGTGCAACATGGGTCCCATTAACCTGGAAGACAATAGTGGCCATATTCTAAGTACACAGCCGGACATTGCATTTTATTCCCAATAGTTTACTGAGTAGAAATACTGAGTGGCCAGAAGGTGGCAGCCTCGGTATTGGCCTTGGAGTAGAAAACGGTAACTTTCGCAGTGAAAAGACATGGTAGCAGAGGAACAGAATACCTTGATGATCCTGTCTCCTGTCTGAACACCTGCTCGCATCGCAGCCCCATCTGGTAAACACAAAGGGAAATAAGCAATTAACAACCAAAAGAGAGTGAAAAAGCAATGGAAGTGGAATAATAGCAAATAAGGAAGGAAACACAAAAAATGCTTCTTCATGATGCAGCAATGACATTTCTTCACAATGAATATGCCAAAAGTCTTTTGACAGACCATAAATACGTGACTATTTCAAGTGCTATTTTGAAAGACCATAACAGTGGTTATATTACAAGAAGGACCTGTTTCACAGCTCCACCCCAAACAAAGGGATTTAGGCATGAGACAGGTTATTATGAGAGGCAAGTCTGACTAAAGTCAGCAGAGTGCAGTTCAAGTACTCTGCAAGCTGAAAATAGACTTTAGGTCTTCAGGTTTGTAGTAGTGAGGAAATTCAACTTGGGGTCAGGGAACAAAGAATATAACTCAGTCTGCTCAACTGTGGAGTAGGCGGGGGAAAAGGGACTTATAACTATCTGTTTCAGTTTCACCACGTTGGGATGACATTTAAAGACACTATAGCTGCATTTTGTTTGCTTTTCAGTTTAAAATGCTGATACATTATTCACATGTAACTTAAAAAAAGAAAATGGAAGCTATTCAGTGATAGTTAAGACACTCCCAAGCATTAATGAAAGTGCAAAAAAGAAAAAAGGTCTCGATTGGTTCCCTCCTCTGCAGTCTCCATCCACTGCTGTACAGACTTGCTAGTGTTTACTGTGACCTGATAAAAGCCCACATAATCCTCTACAGACAGCGTGAGACACTACTCGAGGTCACAGAAGCATTTTGGCAAACTCATAACAAGACAACAGGATAAAGCAGAAGCTGCAACTACAAGTGAAACTTGTAGAAAGAGGAAATAGTTTACAGTCAACAACGTCACTAGTGTAAATGAATGCCAGAGTTGTTGATTTCTGGGGACCAATTACCACTCATATTGGCGAACTAACATGGCAAATTGACGTGATAGTTTGATGTCATTGCATGAGGACACAAGCACAAAATAAGGGGAGCTCACGGAAGGCTCAAACCGAAGGTGGTCAATGTGGTAACATTTTTCTCTTTTAAATTTGAGAGTCAATCTTACCTTCTTTGACAAGCTGCACAAACACTGGATTGTCACCACTGACAGTGAGCCCAAAGCCATTTTCATCTTTCTGGATTATTACACATCGCTGGACCAGACCTGCAAGTGACACAGACCGGAAAGAGAAAGATTTTCACAAGATCAGGAAGTTGAGTAAATTTTTAGTTCACCCAGTTAGTTCACTCTTAGCATGTAGGGTGACAGAATTCCACAATAATCACACTGGGAAGGTGATAAAAATCAGTTAAAATCAAACTTTACACTTTTTCCTCTGCCAAAGCATAAAGCTGAAGCTGTCTGTGTGTGAGGTAGGCCACTAGAAAGCTCTCCTTTTTTGTTTTTAAACATCAAAATATAACAGTGGGCTCCACGGATAATGGCTCCATGGTGCCTTCTTAAATTTTTTATAGAGATTTGGTTTAGATATGTTGAATTATGTCAAAATTATGCAAGTTAGAAATATGAACATGCTGCCACAAACCCCAGAAAAAATAAATGAAAACATATACAAGGTTCGAGCTGTATGTAGACGGAGCTGGGGCATTGCTTCAGGAATGGAACTAATAAACTCTGCAGGCCATTCTTTCCCCTGAGTGTCCCATTAGAATGCAGCTCCATCTGAATCTGCACAGGTGCAGTTTCCACATCAACTGTAAACAGTGTTGGGGAGTAACGGCATACATGTACTGCTGTTACGCATTTAAAATACAAAAGATGAGTAACTGTATTCAGTTACCATTTAAAAAGGTGGTATTTAGAATACAGTTACTTTGTTGAAATAAATGGATTACACGGCGGTATTTTCCTGTTTCATATTGTCGCGGGTCAGGACTGTTTGGGTTTTGTTTGACAGCTATGTTCTGTTGTTCCAGGCAGCAGCGTTACGGTTGCCATGGTTACAGGATGACGCACGCTCTCTGCGACTGTGTGTTTCCTGGGTGAGAGAGAGTGCCTTTTTGTTGTTGTGCTAAGCTAATAGGCAGAATGCTATAACCATAGCCCTAAAGAATGTAGCATCATGGGCAGTGTAGTCAGTACTGCAAGGGAGAATGGACTGCCATACCCGTTATGTGTCTGTGAGTCGCGAGGAGGGAGAAAAAGGAAGTGGAAAAGTACGAGCTGTCATCGAGCAGAAACGGGAGCTGGAAGCATGTTAATATAATAATAACCACTGCAGCCAAGAAGAGTGCCTGACGAGCCCAGTTGTAAGTAGCTACAGTGGGGCAAAAAAGTATTTAGTCAGCCACCGATTGTGCAAGTTCCCCCACCTAAAATGATGACAGAGGTCAGTAATTTGCACCAGAGGTACACTTCAACTGTGAGAGACAGAATGTGAAAAAAAATCCATGAATCCACATGGTAGGATTTGTAAAGAATTTATTCGTAAATTAGGGTGGAAAATAAGTATTTGGTCACCTCAAACAAGGAAAATCTCTGGCTCTCACAGACCTGTAACGTCTTCTGTAAGAAGCTTTTCTGTCCCCCACTCGTTACCTGTATGAATGGCACCTGTTTGAACTCATCATCTGTATAAAAGACACCTGTCCACAGCCTCAAACAGTCAGACTCCAAACTCCGCCATGGCCAAGACCAAAGAGCTTTCGAAGGACACCAGGAAAAGTATTGTAGACCTGCACCAGACTGGGAAGAGTGAATCTACAATAGGCAAGCAGCTTGGTGTGAAAAAATCAACTGTGGGAGCAATCATCAGAAAATGGAAGACATACAAGACCACTGATAATCTCCCTCGATCTGGGGCTCCACGCAAGATCTCATCCCGTGGGGTCAAAATGATCATGAGAACAGGTGAGCAAAGATCCCAGAACCACACGGGGGGACCTGGTGAATGACCTGCAGAGAGCTGGGACCAAAGTAACAAAGGTCACCATCAGTAACACACTACAACGGCAGGGAATCAAATCCCGCAGTGCCAGACGTGTTCCGCTGCTGAAGCCAGTGCATGTCCAGGCCCGTCTGAAGTTTGCCAGAGAGCACATGGATGATACAGCAGAGGATTGGGAGAATGTCATGTGGTCAGATGAAACCAAAGTAGAACTTTTTGGTATAAACTCAACTCGTCGTGTTTGGAGGAAGAAGAATACTGAGTTGCATCCCAAGAACACCATACCTACTGTGAAGCATGGGGGTCGGAAACATCATGCTATGGGGCTGTTTTTCTGCCAAGGGGACAGGACGACTGATCCGTGTTAAGGACAGAATGAATGGGGCCATGTATCGTGAGATTTTGAGCCAAAACCTCCTTCCATCAGTGAGAACTTTGAAGATGAAACGAGGCTGGGTCTTCCACATGACAATCCAAACCACAAGGAGTGTCCAGACATGATCCAAAACACACCGCCCGGGCAACAAAGGAGTGGCTCCGTAAGAAGCATTTGAAAGTCCTGGAGTGGCCTAGCCAGTCTCCAGACCTCAACCCCATAGAAAATCTGTGGCGGGAGTTGAAAGTCCGTGTTGCTCGGCGACAGCCCCAAAACATCACTGCTCTCGAGAAGATCTGCATGGAGGAATGGGCCAAAATACCAGCTACTGTGTGTGCAAACCTGGTAAAGACCTATAGTAAACGTTTGACCTCTGTTATTGCCAACAAAGGTTATGTTACAAAGTATTGAGTTGTATTTTTGTTATTGACCAAATACTTATTTTCCACCCTGATTTATGAATAAATTCTTTACAAATCCTACCATGTGGATTCATGGATTTTTTTTTCACATTCTGTCTCTCACAGTTGAAGTGTACCTCTGGTGCAAATTACTGACCTCTGTCATCATTTTAAGGTGGGGGAACTTGCACAATCGGTGGCTGACTAAATACTTTTTTGCCCCACCATGTATAAGACTCACTGTACACTGTGTTCGTGTTTTCCTCCGAAACAATAAGTCCGTTGGAGCAGTCTTTCAACGCCTCTCTCTGTCTCTCGCTAGCAAAGTTGACCCAGACAACAAAGTAAAGCTAGTTTTCGGCTATGAGCCCGACACGAACCCGACGTATTAGCCAGAGGTCCCTTTACTAAGGTTCGGAGCCGCGGACCTTCAGTAATAGTAATAAATCACACAGCAATAGTACATTCACGTAGTTGTAAACAGCATGATAATATATTAAGTAATCCAAAGTATTCCTTTACGTTACTCTCACTGAGTAACGTAAAGGAATACGTTACAGAATACATTTTGGGGCATGTATTCTGTAATCTGTAGTGGAATACATTTTAAAAGTAACCTTCCCAACACTGACTGTAAATGGGTTGTGAAGCAGCTCGAAATTCTCATTTTGTGCTTTAAAGTCACCAAAGGACTTTAAAGCACTCAGTGCGCTCAGTTTATCAGCAAAGTGCGCGTTTGGGAACACTGTTGCGCTGACTTGGTTCAACATTACTTGGCAACAGGGAAAGTGAGGGAAGTTGCACTGCTGCATTTGTGACAGCTTCACTTGAAATGGCTTCACCGCATCATACATGCCATGTCCATGAACTGACAGATTGCCTTGCTGAGCTCAAAAACTCTATTGAGAATTTTTCCCCAACTCACCCAACGGACCTCTGTATGATAAGGAATGTCGGCAAACTCTGAATTCATTTCCCACATAAAAGACTGAAATTGACAGTGATTTAAACCTTTAGTTCGGATAAAATTTACGGTTTGCGTCACGGTGATCATTACATGCTCCGTTTTTAGGACTTTACCACACAGCGTTTCCTGGTGTATGATGCAGTATGCTGTTAACTCACCGTACAGTTCTCCTGCATCTTTACTCGCATCCTGCCGATTAGTCCACTTTTTTTCACCACACAACAATCTGTTGTAAGTCCAACAAGTTTGTCCCAGGGCAGTTTCATGTCGGTTACACTTTGACATGCGTTTCTGCTCAGGCTCACATTTGCCAAAATCTACGTTTTGTCTGGACACAAGACGTCGCACACCTTCATCATGCAGCTCTTCAGAAACTCTCCCTCGGTAAATGGCTGGGCTGATTTGGCTTTCTCCTCTGCTACAATAAAACTTGCCTTCACAACAGCTTCACTTTGTGAGTTTGCTCTGGTGAAAAAAGTCTGTTGAAATGTCAGATTCTTCTTTAGCTCTTCTACTTTCTGTAGTTTCTGCTCTGCATTTAAGTTTTTCAGCTTATCCTGATGTTTTGTCTCGTAGTGCCGTCTTAAATTCCTTAATTACAGCCACATTAGCTCCACTAATAAGATACACAGGTTTACCGGTGTTCTGACAAAACGTCCTACCGTAAGTAGTTTATGCACATTTCTGCTGCGCTGCATTATGGGATCTGTAGTTTGTGTGTTATTAGCGCCTCATATCGCCGGGCCATGCATAACAATAATAATAAATCTATATAAAATGATCTCGCGGGCCAGATAAAATTGTCCGCCGGGCCTTGAGTTTGACACATGTGCTATAGGCGGACTGTTTAACAAACAACAAAAGGATCACCTCTGGGGACCAGGGTAGCTTGGCTTAGAGTCCAACAGAGAGCCTCAAGCAGTCATACGGAGATACACATCACTGTTTTGCAAGGAGGCGCCATACACACATTCAATTCAGAGTAGTATCTGAGATTATACTGATACTTTAATATGAAGTTACTTTCATATAAGACAGTTTTGCAGACAATTAAAAGGCCATCCCCCCACCCCCCAATCTCAAAGCTACTATTATTACATCTGCCTTTAAAAATGTATTATCCATACTTGGATGAAGGGATTTTGTGCCCCATTACTTTCACTGAAACAGTCCCAAGACAGGACATCTTTGAAGCCAGTGTGGACATGAAATATGACCAATAAGGCTTTTACTGTGTAAATGCATAACACATCATAGACTTGGAAAAATATTATCCTGAAACACGAATTTATGGTTGCCCAGAACACAAACTATGAACAGTTAATACAGTTTGCTGAAAACACTACTGTGAGTTGACTTGTATCTGGAAGCGACAAGTTAGTGTACAGAGATGGAGTGTAGAAGCTGTCTGGGTGTTACTCTGCTAATAATCTGGCACTCAGCATCAAGAAACCAGGGGGATGATGACTGACTACAGGAGGCGCAGCATGGACCCATCCCTGCTGCTCGCTAGATCAATACAGACTGCATCAAAAGGGTTTCCTTCTTTAATTTCATAGGAACATCGCGGAGGATCTCTCTTGGTCTCCCAACATAACAGCGACAGTTAAAAAAAAAAGACCACCAGAGACAACATTTCCTGAGTGCGCTGCAGAGGAATCGCACAGAGGAAAAGCTGTTGGTAGCCTTTTACTGCTTTGCCATCGACAATGTACTGATGTACTGCATCACAGTGTGGTAGACTAGCTGCTCGGCAGCAGACAGGAAAGCTGTGCAGAGGGTTATCAACACCATCCAGCGAGCCATCGGCTGCCCAGTGTCTTCCCTAGAGGACATCTCCAGCACTCGCCGTCTCAGCAGGGCAAAGAAAATAATGAAAGAGCCTCCCCACTCTGGACAGCACTTGTTCAACCTTCTGCCCTCAGGCAGGCAGTACAGGTGGACAAACATCCAGACAAACAGAGTTAAAACAGTGTCTTCCCTTATGCCTTCAAAACCCACAACTGCTGTAAATAAAGGAGCACAATACATGGCATTCCCTTAAGTCCAGTCATCATAAATATACAGACGTCTATGTCTGTCCTTTACACTTTAATTATTTTCAATGCTTCAATTCTTTTAAAATGTTTTATCTAATGTCTTGCACTTTCTAATAGACAACGACAACAAAGGGTCCTTCTCATTATTATTACTATCATAATCATCATCAAGACTGGCTAGACAACTATGCAAAAAATTTGGAACCATCATTAATAATTTCATTTAAATTAAACAGTACAAAGACAAAACACAACATTTATAAAAGGCACAACCATGATTGTTTTTTTTTGTCTTAAATAAATAAATGATTTAAATACAGTGTTAGTTAAAGTTTCCAAAGGCCTAGTACAGCAATAACAGAAGCTAGGTAAACTGGGTTTAAAAAGATACATTTAAGTTACTTAGAAACACTTTAATAACATGACCTGCTAAGAAAAGAATCTGGATGTTAAACTGGTCTTTTCTACAGCCCCGACCAATTAGACAATTGAAAACATTTTAAATGGGAACTACAACAAAGGAAGCCCTGAACTATGAAATACCTGAATTTCTGAATCACACATGCTCGGAAAATGTTTCGCTTTAAAAAAAAAAAAGCAAAAAAAAAAAAAAGCAATCAGTCGTCTCAGTTTACAAATGCTTAGAGATGTGTGTTTAAAAAAAAAAAAAAGTCCTCTGTACTATAAGCTTCAAATTTACTCATATCTTTATTTACAAAACAACAGTTTCAACATATAATATTTTGTCTTTGCACTATTTTTCATTAAGTATGAGCTTCCACACCTCGGGGTCACTGAATTATCCTTTAGTTAGGACTATGCTTAATACATGTCTGCAAAACAAGCAGACATCCACCCGTTTCCCAGCATTGTTGAAAATGAGTTTCAAATCACTGCATTCTGTTTTTATTTACATTTTACACAGGGTCGCACCTTTCCTTGGAAACAGGTTACGTGTGAGGTCATTTCTGAAACTGATCTGACGACTCTGCTTAAGTAGATGTTATCTCACAGGTTAGAAAGAGGAACGTTACTTTTCAGGTTCTTTGTGGAGCGACTTAAAAGACAACCTTCCCCTTGCATTTCTTCTATCTGGCCAGCACTTCGTCACAAGACATAAAAGAAAACATTACGCAAAGTACACAAATGCTTAAATACATAATTGTAGTCTCATATTATTTAAACAAACAAACAAACAAACAAAACAAAACAAAAAAACGAGAAGACTATAACTACAACAAACTCTCTTAAATTTTCATTTCAACATTTTAAAGACTGAGAAAGGTATCCAGTGGTTTCTTGTCATCAAAAGAGAGGTAAGTCGACGTTGGGGGTTGGAGAATAGAAGGAATAGCCGCTAATATGTGGAGAGAGGTTAGAGGAGCCAAAAGCTCTGGGTTGGGGGGAAGGGTGTAGGAGAGAGAGGGTTAGGTATAGATGAAGGAGCGAGGAGGAAGGGAGGAGGAGAGGGCATGAGTGTCAAGGAAGCAGATGAAGCCATATGAATTCAAGAGCTGGTGTGAATTTGCCTCTAGATGCTTAGCTCTCTCTCTCTCTCTCTCTCTCTGCTTTAAAGCATTTAAAATTCTTTGGTATTTATAAACCATGAGGAGTGGGACTGCTGACGTGATCTGAGCTAATGTATAATTCAGAGATTCAACTTTAATGTAATCGGCACCCACCAATGATACGAAACTTACACTAGAGAATAAGGTGAGCTTCTGTATTGTATCATCACCACACATAAGGAACCCAAGTAACAGCCGAGAGCATTAAAAAGGCAGAACAATTTCATTTCATTAAAAGCTGGAGTTTTAAGACTTTCAGTTCTCACTGATTTTTTTGTTGTCAAAAAAAAATAAAATAAAAAAAATAAAAAAAAAATGCTAAAGTTGCACCAGACCAGAAAAAGATAAGAGACAAAGATCTGTTTGTTTCAAAGTGAACAAACACGCCAAAGCTTTGTTGCATATGATAATAAGGGTTTACCTTTGTCAACTGTACCCTTTGGAGAGTTTAGACTATCTCGGCTCAAACTGGCATTTCTGACAGCTGCTTTAAGAATTTGTTTTGTCAATTCATTGCATGTGAGGCAAGCCACATGCAGTCTGTTGGCTGCAGTGACCACGTGTCTCTGCCTGTAAATGTACTCGTGTCAGTGTAGATGAAGTAACAAGCATGAAAGCAAAGTCGAAGGGGTTTAAAAAGACCAGAGGGACACCCAAGTGGCTTTGTTTACATAGATTCTAATTAACATATCACTAAATCCAATGTTTGGTCCTTGTAATCATGTAGGCAGATCCTATACTTAAATTAGCTCATTCATTTGAAAAGTACAATAAAACTACATACCAAATGTTCACAAAAAGACTGACTACTAGAAGCTATTGTACTGATCATAAAATAAAACGAAATAAATAATCACTGTAAAAAATATATGTGTTGGCTGCCTATCTCTTAATAAATGCTATACTGATTTCCATTTTTAAAAGAGCAGATAAACAAGGAGTTCAATGTATCCCAGTTGAGCTGATGTCTTGGCAGTGATTATGAGGACAGTTTATTTTAATATCAGCCAGCATAAGTAAAACATCTATAGGCAATCTCACACCAGGAAGCGTGTACAAATGCAGCTGCCACACCAGCCATTCAAGCAGGAGCTTCTTACCACAGGACTCAGGCTTCCCCTCTGGTAGCACACTGCTGCTGCCACTCTTCTGCACCACCAGAGCTTCTGCTCACAGCCCCCACCACACAGAACGCAGAGCAGACAGCACACATTCACATACACATAAAGAAACAACACAAGGAAAGGAAACAAAACAGGAAAGAGAAAATCATGAGGGAGAAATAAACATGGGAGATGAAAAATTAAACGCACAAATCGGCAGTTTAACAAAAAAAACAAAAAAAAAAAAAATTAAAAATGATTTGGATAGGCACTGAAAAAAGTGAAAGTAGCTGAAGATTAACTAGCTTGTTTTTTTTAGTACCTTTTTATTTTTAACTACCCACATATCTATAGATACTTACGGCAAATGTAATTATAGGGGCCACACGCTTTCAAAACTGAAAACTGCATTAAAATGATAAGCTCAAGTCTGATTTTATATTAAACATGTCCTGAAAATAAAGAAGGTTACAAAAGGCCAAGATTGCATCTGGCTTCTTTAATAAAAATTCTGCGCTAATAACACAATGGCCATAAAAGTGTAGCTGTACACTTAAACCTAGCATTCATTTACGTCTGGTATATTCAATTTTGCCTCCAATTTTATCGTGATGAATAAGCAGCTAGTGAAATTGCATGCAATTTTGGGTGTGTCTCCCCACTGCAGAGGGTGGTTTTATAAGTTGTGGCAAAGGGGATGATGCTAAAAATAATTCCAAAATCAAGTTTCCATCAACAGAAGAGAAACTTTTCTTAGGCCACCAATTAAAATAAGGAGGCTGACTTTTTCTTTTAAACAAATAATCAGTTTTTGTGGGAAACAATGATCTAAAAAGTCAGTTTTAATAAACATCTACAGTGTCTGCGTACTTCTGTATATCCTTAATAAACCCAAACCACTTTGAAATTAGAGAAAAAAGGCACATATGGAGAATATCTAGGAAAAGATTATTAGAGTTCATGCATCTTGCAAGCAAATAACAAAAATACAAGCTGCGATACAGAACATGCAGACATGCAAAATTTCAGGACATAAATGTAACACTAGCAGAAAATAAAGATGTACAAAAAGTACATTTAAGAATGAGGTGCGTCTTGCTGGATTTGGTACATTCTGTTTAATCGCTGCATAGCTAAACATCAAAGAAATGTATGCAAGAAGATTTTAGTCTGATGCCAGACAAAGACAAGCAGCAAAGCGCATGTCTTAACTGAGAGAACTCATCTTGTCTGTGTTTTGTTGCATCATTCACAGATAAGCCACCATGTGGTGCAGAGGATTTTCTTTTTTTGTTGTGAATACAGGCGCTTCAGTCATATCTCGAATCACACTCAACTGACTGCTGACAAATACCACCGGGACTGTCACCATATCAGACGAGTCTGTCTCTGAAACACAACAATTTCACCCTGCAATAAACTGGAAACTGGAGTGCATAATAAGCTCAGTGGCTTTTTGTGCCCTTCAAGTATGCATGCACACATGAGACCACCCAACCACTCAAGCATACAAAACCCACTTATTTATGTAAAACTGTGAGACACGTGAACATAATACACACACAGAGCTACTGATTTTTCAGTCCATTAATCAAACAGTTCTCTGCTTATCGGCTTAACACTGGCAACATGTAATGAAACGTAAGCTTTCTGACAAACACTTGTAAAGCTGTAATGTCAACGTAACCATTAAAGACACATTATACTGTCTGTAAACTGAATTAACTCCCAAAAAGATGATTCAAACTCCTACTAATAATAAATTATTTTCATCCAATGACAAACACACAGTAGATCAGACCACACATGTGAAGACTGATGTAAAGCTGTCATTTTAAACTTATACAATAATCAAGCACAAAGCATAGAGCAAGATACAAACATGCCTTGAGCAAATCATCATGAGCACATTTGTTCTATGAGACAATTTGTGAGTGTGAGAGTTGGAGAGAAAAAAAAAGAAAAGGAGACTGTCAGACAGAAACATGTGAGGCAGTCGGTGAGGCATTCAAAGACCGAAGGAAGAGATGGAAACACGCACTGTCACGGACTGAAGCAGAGCGAGTAGGAAAACCACATTCAAGCATCGAAATGAAAGTACAAAGTTACCTGTAGGGTCAAACTCATTGGAGGGAAGGGAATTTCTTTCACTTTTGGGTTTCTTGTCTGGGGGGTGGTCTTTACTGAGAATACTGCTGGTTCTATAGAAAAGGGAACAGATGAGTAAAAGGTAAACCAAGTGGTAGAACAGTACAAGACCAGCATTTGTCCAGTAAGAGCAATCACATACAACAATGCAGACTTTTACACATTGCATTGTTTTTACTGAAAAGGTCACTATAATGTATGCATGTCTTACATTACTGCTACAGAATAAGCCTGGCTTTCATGCAAGTAAAGACCCAGAGTAACCGCAGCAACAGTAAGAACCAACTACTGTCCTTTTTATTCTTGAGAATAAAATGCAGGAGGACCTCCTAGCGTATGAATCATGCCGAGTGTGTCTACTGTATAAAATGACACGCTGAGAGGAAGTGGAGGCGCTCTCCTGAGTGCCCAAAGAGCAAGGCCAGAGAAAGGACGCTTCTCAGTGGAGATACCACAAGGCCAGACTCCGGCTTGAACCTCGGGAGGCTATGTATGGCTGCCTCTGCCTATACTGGCCTCAACTGTGAAAGGCCACTGTTCTGTTCACAGTGAAAGGCAGCGATGGGCCACCCTTAAAAGAGGGACCCCTTTGTCCGTCACTCTGTGTGTGTGTGTGTGTGTGTGTGTGTGTGTGTGTGTGGTGTGTGTGTGTGTGTGTTAGAGTGTCTGTGTGTGTGGTGTGTGTGCGCGCGCGCGCGCATGGGGGGCGGGGGGTTGGTCCACACTCTAAAGACTTCTGTATTACAGCACACCAGGCCTAGTAAAATCTGCCTCATTTCCCTCATGCAGAGCTCTGTACATGTATGGGACTGGGTGGTGTGTTATGTCTGTGTTACCACAGGATTCCCTATTCATAAGGGTTTAAGTGTCAGCAATCCAATAAGATAAAGATTCTTACCTGTTTGCTTTCTTGGGAAACCTGCAAGATAAAACAGAATAACAGTTAGCATCCTACAGAAATCTGCTGGCAGACTACTAATGTAATGTAGAGCACAAAAGCTGGGCTGCTTATTCCTGTTTGCAGAGTTAAAAAACAAAAAACAAGATGTCGTGCTGACAGTTTCTCATGAGACCCATATAGTAGTAAACATGATAATCCCGATCAAACATCTGAGTTCTTCAGCTGCAGATTAAAGCGTTTTCCAGGTCAAATGTCCTCTGCCTCTCAGATCTCATCTGTGTGCATGTGCTGTAATCTAGTTCTTCAGACATCATAGTTTCACTGTAATAATCATATCGTAATCATACACAGGGCCTTCGAAGTGGCATGCTCATTGCCACAGTGTGCAGCAGTGATGAAATAATTAGGGGATATAGTCAGCACCATATTGGAAAATGCAATGTTTTCCAGGATACTTGAGATCTGCCTTTTTTCTTTGGTAAATGGTAATGGTAAATGGACTGGTTCTTATATAGTGCTTTTCCACTCTTCTGAGCACTCAAAGCGCTTTACACAACTTGTGCATTCACCCATTCACACCCATTCGCACAAGCACAACTGACATTCACACACATTCATACTCCGATGAATGCATCGGAGAGCAATTTCGGGTTAGCAGACAAAGCATGAAAGAAAATTTATAGGCTAGAAAATTTAAAGAAATGCTACACTGTTAACAGCAGCTATAGGTGTTCATTCTCATGTTTAAGAGACAGCCTTAACAGAATCACCCAAGGCACACAAGAGTCGGTGGACCTTGCACTTTGTACAGTTTCTAAACCAAATTTTACTCCAGTACTCAAAGATAAGATATACATGCCAAAAATGTGTTTTTAGCCTTAAAGTGATTAAAGAGAATCAAAGACAATCTATTCCAACGAAACGTGGCAAAGGGTCACAGATTTTAATATTGATTTATTTTGTTTAACCTAGCAAAGTATCTTAAAACTCTTAGTGTTGGAGTTGATTATATGAGTGTCACTGCAACACCCGTCAGCACTCCAAGTTGGGGTCCACACAGTCAGTACTACTGATTTTTCTCCAGAAAGACTGAGCCATAATTTGCCATTTTACATTTTATTATTTTTAACTGCGAAGAAGTGGAAAAGATGGAAAAGATTGGTGTCTCACTGTGGAAATAGTCACACAGCAGTGAAATCCATTTTCACACTTTGCTGTAATACCCCAAAGTCTTTATTCAGGCTTGTACATATGTGCTGTATGCTACACTAAATGCTTGTGAAAATGTAAAAAGAGAAAAACAAGGAAAAATGCACAGTATATGAATACAAATAACTACTCACTCTAAAATAGTACTGTTCGGTAAAAAGGAGGTGTCATGACTTACTAGCCACATTAACTCCCTTTCTTCTTGTGACACTGTCTCATTCAGGGCCATGCAGGGGCAGCTGAATGGCCCGTTTATGAAAATGCCTCAGACTGTAATAAGTTCCAGAGCTTACAGCAGGGGGGGGAAAAAAAAAAAACTAGTTTTAAGTAACCCATTCCCTAAGAAACCTCTGAATTGGAAGGATGGAAAAGTCAGCACACAAATACACACACTGTGAAATGCTACATGCAAATGCACAAGCTCGGAGACGGCAAAAATGAGTAGGCACGTGTTTTTGGTTGATCGTATAGGAGCAAATGAAAGCATGACAGGGAAACCAAGAGGATGGATGACACATCAAGCTGTCTACAGTGACTGTAGACATGACTGCGCTGAATTATGCTTATAATAGTGCCTTTTGAAATAATGCTGTGGTTCCTCTTCATGAGGTCTTGCACTTGGTAAAACTTTTGAAGGGAACTGAAAAAACGTTTGTTCAGAAAGGCAACATCATTTTACGTCCTTTAAAAAAAAAAAAAAAAGACATGAGTCAGAGCCAGCACAGTCTCTAGAAGAAATAAGAGAAACACCTAGCATGAAATCACTTGCCTATAAAATACATATAAAGACTGAGAAGAAGGACAAAGGTAGTTGTGAAAAAATATGCAAGAAATAGTACAAACAAGAGAGAAGTGGTAAAAGGAAGTAGTGGCACAGCAAGTTTTAAAAGGGACAACAAAACTTCGCATGTGCTATATGCTACACAAAATGGGGGATCACTATGTAAGTTTAAGGATATCAAACAAACTAATATTCTTTAAATTATAGGTACTATTCCTAAATCGAGAAATATCCCGCTGCGCAGAATCCTGAAGCTGCCACACTTTTGGTTTAAGTTTGTGAAAACACACCACTTCAGAGCTTGACTGTTAAACATCTCTAGTTGCCTCTGGCAAGCAAATCTACAACTAACCATTTAAAGGTCTGGGTTCTGTCATTTACAAATGAATGCTTCCAAAGTTATCATAAAAATAGACACAGGCTAAATTTAAAAAATAAATAAATAAAAACTTTCCATCTAAGGACAACTTTCCGCCTGGGTGGATGTGAGCACTGTTGTCACATTGGTTTTGGCACTCAACCAGTGCAGAGGGGAAAAAAAAACTGAAAGAAAAGGAATAACAACGATGCCCGGGCATCACAGCAAAACTACAGCACAGTCCCGCTGAGAGTGAGACAGGCCTGCTATGGAAACAGTGCTTCTGAATAACTGCTGAATGTAAAGGCTGTCTGGTAATTTGCTGTGTGACATCACAAATTATAAGCGAGAAACATGACACTAAAGGAATAATGAATATACATTTTTGACCGAATCAAAGATAATACTTGTTTGATCCCTCCTAGGATGAGCCGATCATCTGATTTGTAGTAGCCAAAAAGAAGAAACATTTTTTTGCATAAACAGAGTTGTAGCATCGAGGCATGTGCAGAGATATTTATTACAGTTTTAAATGTGTTTTGTGGCATATCTACTTTTACTGTAAGAATAGTGTTTGTAAGTCTATTTGCATATAGCGGCTTACTGTGTATATATTATGAACTATGAATTATGTTTTCAGAAGTAAATGTAGCTGTAAGTTTGGGAAACATTGCCTATGCAGAAAAGAAGTTTAACATGCATTAATAAAAGTTTTCCAAAACTTCTTTTTGGATAGGTACAGTTGACATGAGACAATGACAGATAGGGGCTTCATCATATTAGCCCAAACTAACTGTCAAAAGGTTGTTTAAAAAAAACAAAACAAAAACAAAAAAAAACAACCCACAAACAAAGTATGCAATTAAAGCTGAAGGAACAAATCCAATATATACACATAACAACTGCTAATCCATCTTTGAAGTAATGGTTATTTACTTTAGTCATAACTCATTCCCCATGTGAGCTACTGTGACTGTTGTCTAAGACTAAATTGGTGACAGCCAATTTGAAGCTGCAAAGTTTCAATGTGGGCGCAAGTGTCCTCAGCTTAAAATAAGAAATTTAAAAATGGGTAAGATGAACCATATTTCTACAACACTTAGATAGCTGACGACAAGTCATCATACCCGATACATGTAACAGAATGACAAACAAATGCTTAAAAGACTCATTTTGGTTTTGTCTCAAGCAAAAAGGACTGAAATACACAGTTCTATTATACCTGTAAGACAAACAGAATAGAGTGTGACAATTTTTTAGAATAATTACATTTCAGTGTTTTGCCCTGCTCTACCCTGTTAGACGTCATGCCAATTGTAGATAGGAAATATCACATAAAAACATTTTAGCACCAATAAAAATAACAGTTTTTGGGGTTCCCATAACGCCCCCTCCCCAATTTAAATTACAATCACACCAGTAACTAAAGACAGAGTTTAAAAGAAATACTTTTCATTCTATATACTCTTCAGAAACTAAATATTCCGTATTTCTCGGACCATAAGGCGCACCAGATTATAAGGCGCACTGTCGATGAACGGGTCTGTTTTCATACATAAGACGCACCGGATTATAAGGCGTATTAAGCAAAACAAAACAGTAAGATAAGTTAAACTTTACTCAACTCATTCTTCTTGCTTCCTCCACTTCTGTACCATTGATTCATTAATGTTGAATTCTCTGCAGCTGCTCTATTCCCATGTTGTTGCAGTATATTAATGACTAACCTCGTATTGTGGATGGATTATCTCAGTTGTTCTCCTGACTGAAGTTTGGTCCGTTTACAGCATCCTGCCATGCGATTGCATTTGTCCCTAACCATCGGGAACCCTCACGTTAACTTTTATCGAGTGGAAAAAGTTAGGTTCATCCTCCAGCTTCACTGTGTTTGTTATGCTAACATAGCTGTGTCCTAGCGATCACGTAGCACATCATTATATAGCAGCTAGCCCAACTTCAGTAACCCTACAAACATCACTGCTGTTTAGTTTTCTGTTTTCATTTATGTTGGAAGTGATAGCAGAGCTGTAGGCTTTAATTTTTTCAGAAATCTCTCAGTCAGAACATGCTATATCATGTTTAAGTGGAAACTAGCGAGCTAACTTTCTGCTAACTTCTAACTCCGTTAAATGTAATAAATTCTGTTTTCATGGATGCCTAGATGTTAAACTTCATTGTTACACCCGGTAAAGCAGCAACGCTGATCATTTTGTTACAGATGAAAGAATTTAGACAGTTTTTAACTCTCAGTGATGCCGCAGTGTTCGTTTGACTTTGGGACCTGAAATGGACAGAGTTTTGGACACAGATTACTCCGTGAGGGTCCTGACTACGGTAGCCATAATGTTCAGACAATCCATCAAGCGGTCCGGCTTTTCAGTTTTTGAGAAAATTAAAGGATTTTAAGCACGCCTTACAGTGCGGAAAATATGGTATATATATTTTTCTGCATGATAATAAGTGATTAAAGCTGTAATCTTAGGACTGTTCAGATAAAGAGTAAACTGGAAATACATTAAATAGTGTAATTTGTTCTTCTTTTATATTCAACTCATCACATCTGTAGTTAAAGGGAAACTGAAAAGTGGTATTAAGTGGAACGTGGATTTTGGTCCAAAAACAATGCTACCTTGGTTTGTCGATTTACAACAACAGCATGCATTCATAACA